ATTAATATTTAAATATTTATATTTCAAAATAATAATAATATTATTTTTAAAATATAAATTTTATATTTTTATTTATTTAATATATTAATTCAAATAATATATTATATATATATAAATTTAAATTATATATTATTTTTTAAAATAAATATATATATATTAATAATATTGTACAACACAATAATAAAAAAATCAAATATCAAATATCTATAACAAAAAAAAATATTATAAATCAAACATATCAAAAATATACCGAAAAATATCAATACATTTTTTCCCTAATTATCTATCTATCTATATATCTATCGATCTATTTATCTATATCTCTCTCTCTCTCTCTCTTTCATCTAATTACCTATCTATCATCTACCTACCTACCTACCTACCTACCGATCTATCTACCTATCTACCTACCCATATACCCATCTACCCATCTACCCATCTACCTATCTACCTATCTACCTATCTACCTATCTATCTATTTATCTATCTATCTATCTACCTTATCTATCTACCTTATCTGTCTGTCTATCTGTCTATCTATCTGTCCATCCATCCATCCATCCATCCATCCATCGATCCATCTCATCTGTTTGTCTATCTATCTATCTATCTATCTGTCTATCTACCTATCAATCAATCAATCAATCAATCTATCTAATCTATCTACCTATCAATCAATCAATCTATCTAATCTATCTAATCTATCTAATCTATCTAATCTATCGAATCTATCGAATCTATGTAATCTATGTAATCTATGTAATCTATGTAATCTATGTAATCTATGTAATCTATGTAATCTATGTAATCTATGTAATCTATGTAATCTATGTAATCTATCTATCTATCTGTCTATCTGCAAGCTTGAAAACGAAGCTATTCTGCGAGACTTCATCAATTTTTGAACTTGACAACATCAAAAACGCAGCAATTCTGCGAGACTTCCTTAATGTTTGAACTTGACAACGTCAGAAACGAAGCAATTCTGCGAGACTTCTTCATTTTTCAAAGTTGACAACATCAAAAACGAAGCAATTCTGCGAGACTTCCTCCAAAAATGGAAAGTTGCGTGCAGCGCTGACGCCTCGTACCAA